GTGGTGCGCTAGCTGACTGTTGAAATTTTCCAGCCCTAAAATATAGCCATAATTAAAATTTTAATGATTATGAAACTTTTTATTAATATAGCTACTTGTGTGCATGTATGTGTGTGCATATGGAATTATGCACCTCGTGCCAAGGTGTATGCGTGGAGGTCAGGGGACAACTTTCAGGAATTGGTTCTTTCCTGCTACCATGTGCGGCTTGAGATTCCAACTTAGGTTGTCAGGCTTGGTGGCAGGGACTTTTGTCCACTGGGTTATCTCACTGGCTCCCATAATTACATTTTATATAGAAACAAAATACAAAGGCAATACTCATCCATTCTGTTATTATGCTATACTAAGATTATTTACATTCACTGTATCTTTTTGTTAGAGATCTTACATTAATAGTGTACATACCATGCTAAATAACATCATGTTAACTTGAAATTGGACATGGTGGGAGTAAGTATATTGAAAGCAGTCTGGTTATTTTGGTTGTTTTGTTTGTGTGTTGAGAGCCCATTAGTAAACACAGCATTCAGCAACCCACTACTGCAAGACTGCAGATCTTGGGCAGTTTATGCCTCTACTTCTGTTTCTTGGTCTTGCAAATGAGTTAGCTGCCTCAAATTCTAGTCCTAGGTTTTAGATTCTTCAATTTGAGGGTGCGAAACAATTCCCTAGAAAATTGTCTAAAACAGATCCCTCTCTCCCTTCCCACAGAGATTGGGACTCATCTTGTCCCAGGAAGCTAACAATGTCTCCCACCCTGGGATTCTAAAAGACTGATGTACACAGAGCACCATTTGAGAAGTCCTCGTTAGACTGAGATGACCTTGGAAAGGAGGAAACAAAATGTCCTGTTCTTGACAGTAATGCACGACAGTGAAAGGCTTTCATGTCATTGTTTATTTTTATAGGCTTAAAACAAATCATTTCCCCAATAGAGAGAGGCATGAAAGATTGGCTGACTCACCCCAGCTTCCAACGAATTACTCTTTTGATTTAGTGAATGCCCACAGCAAGGCAAAAATTGAAGCCCATGAAGTCACAGAGGGGTTTTGACATCTCTTCAGTTTTCCTAACTTTTTTTGTTGTTGTTGCCCTATGCACTATTGTAGATACTCTTTGGGTGGGCATGTGTTGAGTGCCTCCTATTTCTAAGGCCTTATGGCTTTCAGGTAATTTCAACATGGGTGAATTCCATCCAGGAAAATCAATAATCATGTGAGACGACTCTCTTCTGTAACCCTTTCAACTGGACTCCTAGTGGTTTAGAAGGCGTTAGGCAACTGCCCACTCTCACTGCCTCCAGTGTGTGCCCTGGCTGCTGCTACTTCTGCAGGCTGACTGCAAGCACTCCATTCCCCACCTCCAAAAGCATTTACCTTTGCTGATCGTGCCGTACTTAGAGCATCTTCAGGACCAAGTGAGCATGCCCTTTGTTCGGCCACATGCAACATTTACCTTTTTGAAGACTATTCTGATTAAGGATTCTGACTTAACCAAGATTAGGTTGTATTTAAATCTTCTTTGACCTAGCATTTTTCCCCCTTGAGACATTGTGCAAGATGCCCCCAAACATGTGATCTCTCCCTCAGCCTTCTGAGTAGCTGTGATTGTGATACTCTTGTCTATCATTTTAGTTGTTGAGTCTTACTGATGTTTAACACATTTAGGAGAAAGGTTCAGTTCTAGTTTACACTCTTCGCTAAATATCAGGTTCAGTTCTAGTTTACACTCTTCGCTAAATATCGAAGGTTAATTTCATGGTTCACGAAGAACTTAATTTGAAAACTCTTTGGGCATCAGAATTTGCGGTCAATTCATTGGTGCTGTTTAGTTCCTGTTCTGTGTGATGCTGATCCTTATGGAAGCCAAGTATGCTACAGGGTCCCTTCCCCTGCTTCTCTAATCAGGGATGGTCACCATCTAAGGCATTTTTGTCCCAGCAATTTAAAATTATGCTATTGATCTCTATATCCAGGTAATGAATAATATGTACTACAAGAGTCTAAATGTTAGCAGGACATGGTGGCACATGCCTTTAATCCTAGCAGTCAGTCAGAGCTGGCAGATCTCTGAATTCAAAGCCAGACTCCTGGTCTATAAAGTTCTGGGACAACCACAGATACACAGAGAAATTCTTTCTAAAGAAACAAATAAGCAAAAAACAGAACAAAATGGATTCTAAATCTTACCAGTTACTAGAATCTGGACTTCAAACCAGCGGTCTCAACTCATATGTAGGAGCTTCATACAATCTGGGATCACTATTTTTCCTTAAGGGTTTGTGCTTTATACTTTTTTTTGCTTTTTGAAACACAGTTTTTCTGTATGGCTTTGGAGCCTGTCCTGAAACTCACTGTGTAGACCAGGCTGTCCTTGAACTCACAGAGATCCACCTGCCTCTGCCTCCCAAGTGCTGGGGTTTAAGGCATGCACGACCACCACCCAGCTACGCTCTTATTTTAAAGAGCTCCCTCAAGCCAACTCCTAGAAGTCCTGGAAAGTACATTACATCTATCTTCTACTATTATAATGCAGAGGAGAACACTGAATGTGAGAAGGTTGTCTAAATTGGGCCTATAAAATTGAATATTTGGAGCTGGAGAGATGGCTCAGTGGTTAAGAGCACTGGCTGTTCTTAAAAACAATCTGGGTTCAATTCCCAGTACCCACGTGGCAGCTCATAAGTGTCTGTAACTCCAGTTCCAGCATATCTGACACCCTCATACAGACATACATCCAGGCAAAATACCAATGCACATAAAACAAAAATAAATAAATTATGTAAAGACACCATATACATATAATAAATAAATCTTTAAAAATTTCTAAAAGAGTAAGGCCATCTCTGGATGCTATTTTGGGTAACTATTTATACAGCTGGTAGAATGCAAGAAGTCAGTGTTATGAAGAACAACTAGACAGTTTCTCAAAAAAAAAAAATATGACCCAGCAACTCTACTCCTAGGTCATAACCAGGATAAATGTAAACAAATGTTCATACTAAACAAGTTTGCATAAATGATCTGAACAACATTATTCATATTAACCAAAGACTGGAAACAACTGCTTACCAACTAATAAATGGATAGACTAAATGTGCCATGGATCATTATTTAGAAATTAAACCGAATTAAGTACCAATCTGTGCCTCGGCATGAAAGAAGCTGAGCACAGAGGGCTACATGTTGTTTCATTCCCCTTCCATAAAAAGACCAAGGTAAGCAAGTCTCCATGGAGACAAAGTGTTTGTTATTAGGATGGGAGAAGTAAAAAGTGGTTGCAAATGGGTACAGTGTGTCTTCTTGGAACAATGACGATATTCTAAAGTTATGAGTGATAGTTGCACAAATCAGGTTATATGCAGGAGCCACTGCACTGGTGTACTTAACTGGGTAAAATTTTGTGGTGCATAAATGAATCTCAAAGGTTTTATAAAATGTACCTGAGGGAATAAATTGGGGTCTGAGTCATTTATTTCTGTATATGTATGTGTAATTGAACATTTACCAACCCCTCATAAACCCTGACATTCATGCTATCAATCTGCCCTTTTTAGTATGATTTAGATATGTTACCTATACAGCCTTACACACTGGTTCAAAAAAAGCAGCCACAGACTATTTACTTTTACTTACAATTTTCCAGCTTACCATTGTTATTACAGTTTCATCACCTTAAGATTGTATTTTAAAGCATGCTTGCGGGGGGGGGGGCAGCAATCTGGGGAGCTAAGACAGAAGGATCATTTGAGCTGCAGAGTTCAGGGTCAGTTAACATCCTGTTAAATTCTTTTGGACTGCAGTGATTGCTTGGGGTAGTGTTATGGACTGGAGATGGTCTTAAAGAGGAGACAAAATGAAACGGCTTAGGCAGTGGGTCCTAGTCCAAGTTGAATAGAGTCCTTATCAAAACAGGAGATGGGAGCATACGGAGAACCTGGGGCTCATACAGACAGAAAGACATCTGCTTAGGGACAACAGAAAGTGTTCACCTGCAAGCCAAGGAGTAAGCCACCTGATGCTTTCTTGTGGCAGCCCTGGCAAAAAAAAAAAAAAAAAATACAGCAGCCATTGCAGTCAACCGAAGGCTCTTTCGTACTTGTTCTTATCAAGATCTATAGTAAGCATGCCAGTGGGTGGGGCGGCACCCTGAGCTTTTAGAGTTTCCATTCTGATGGTTTCACCTCCCCTTCTTTTTACCAGGAGGGATGAATGCATAATTACAGAACTGGATTCCTATTTAGACAGACTTTCGGCCCCACCCCCTTGTACACTTTAGCCATGACACAGAAAGTAAGAAAATCACAGAAGAGCCCCTTCATCACGTAAATATACATTCTAAGCAGTGGCTTTCCCCAGGCAGATTTGTTTAAGGTTCTGACATAGAGTAAGCACTTGCTATAGGCTGAATAAACAAGAACTCAGTGCTATAAAACCATTGCAGTGGGGCTGGAGAGATGATGGCTCACCGGTTAAGAGCAGTGGCTGCTCTTCCAGACTTCCTGAGTTCAATTCCCAGCAATCACATGGTGGCTCACAACCATCCTAATGAGATCTGGTGCCCTCTTCTGGCCTGCAGGGATGCATGCAGGCAGAACACTGTATACATAATAAATAAATCTTAAACAAACAAAAACACTACTGCAGGATAATGGTTATGTATCTGGATTTAATTTACTGAGTATTATTGATTTAAAATAGTATAACTTTGTAGATCATCAAATCCTAAATGATTGTGTTAGAGGAACAGATAGTTTAAACAAACTGAATATGTATTTATTCAGCAAAATAAAAAGGATTTTAATTTTGGGTCATCATTAGAAAAGGAGCAAGTTGGGCAGTGTCCCAATCTGTCTTTGTTGGTACCTGGAAGTTTCCCAATCAGTGATGATTTAATAAACTTCCATTGCTCACTTGTGTGTACTCTCTGATTTGACATTTACTTTCTGGATGCAAACAGTTTGCCTCTAGCAATATTTTCAGTAGCTCCAAGGTTTTTGTAGCAGCAGTAATTAGCATCCATCAGAAACCACTCTGTCTGCTGAACAATATCCTGCAAAGCTTCTCTGACTATTGGTGGATCAATAATGACACGGCACAGCCGCTATTGCCATGGCAACAGTACTCAGGACCTATCAGAGGAAAATTGCACATGGAACCATTGGATCTCAAGCAGCCATGCCTCAGCTTCCTCTGGAGCATGCTTTTTCTGCAAATCTGGTGTGCTCTAACCCAGTGTAGGTTCAACACTAGAGATAAAACCCAATCTTTAAAAGGGAATAGTGGTAGAAAAAGAGGCCCTGACCTTTTCTTATTAGGTCAGCTGTTTCTTATTAGGGTACAGGTTGGTGATCTTGAAATTGCTGAAGAAGCTGTGCTGGGTTTAAACAAATAACTGGATGGTAAGTGTCAGCAGGTTTTCAGTGTTGGAGGAAGAGGTTTCAGATAAGCAAGGAGTGGGTGCTACAGCAATTCATGCGCCAAAGACCTTTAATAGAAATGGTCAGAAATATTTGCATATGTGCATTGGTGTGTGTATATATGCACATTATAGTGTGTGTATATATATATATATATATATATATATATATATATATATATATATAGGTTAGTATGTATATACACAGAATAGTGTACACATCTTTTTCATCTCTGTTTTGATAGCCTAAGAGAAGCTATCTTGGTACCTACTATGCTCCTTTGAAATTTATTTTCTTTCTTTTTTTTTTTTTTTTTTTTGAGGCAGGGTTTCTCTGTATCGCTTTGGAGGCTATCCTGGAACTCACTCTGTAGACCAGGCTGGCCTGAAACTCACAGAGATCTTCCTGCCTCTGCCTCCCGAGTGCTGGGATTAAAGGTGTGTGCCACCACCACGTTTATTTGTTTTCTTTTCATGTATTTTAAAATTTAAATTAAAACAATCTTATTTTACATAACAATCCCAGTTCCCTCTCCCCCCCACCCTCCCATTCCCTCTACCATCTCCCCATCCCACCCTCCATCCATTCCTCAGGGAGGGTGAGGTCTCCCATGGGGGAATCATCAAAGTCTGTCACATCATTTGGGGCAGGACTGAGGTCATCCCCTACTATTTTTAAAATTACTTTTGATATGTAGATGTGTTGCCTGTATGTATGTCTGAGTACCATGGCTATGCAGTGCCCAGAGGGGCCAGAAGAGGGCGTTGTATGTCCTAGGGCTAGAGCTATATACTGTTGTGAACTGCCATGTGGGTCCTAGGGACCAGATCAGGACCTCTGGACGAACAGCAATTATTTTAAAGTGTTGGCCCATCATTCTATCCCCTAAACAATACTTTTTATCAATGAATGTGCACACATCTTACTGTTGTAACTATCCAATATTCTAAGATAGATTGTAGGTAATAGAATCAATTGTATCTTGAAATATCAAAATTGAAACAACATTTAATATGATCACACAAGACTTGTCCTGGGCTTAACTTCCACCTAGACACATACAAGGAAAAGGAAGATGGGTCTCAGTGAATTCAAGGTCAGCTTAATCTATACATCAAGTTCCAGGTCAGTACAGGCTACATAGTGAGGCCTTGTCTCAAGAAAACAAAATGAGCAGAAAACCAAAACCAAGACATAAATTTATGGGAATTTTTTTTCACATTCCATTTCTTTCTAGCCTATTAATCCTCTGAGTTAAAAGCCTTTTTTTCCTAATGTGTAAGAAAACTATAAAAGATAAACTCTTTCAAAGGGAAATGTAAGTTTTTATTGAAAGATGTCACACAAGAGACTTATAAATGTAACAATAGTTAAGTCATTTATAGAGTGTTAATTCCCAATTTCTTATAATAAAATCTACTGGGGGGGGGATTGCACTGCACTCTGTAAGTTTTTCACTTTTCAAAGACTTCTTTATTGTTTAAGATTTAATTGTATGTGTGTTTGTATGTTAGTGTGTGCCGGGGCGCGCAGAGCCAGAAGGGAGGTGGCACATTCCCTGGAGCTGGACTCAGGCAGTTATGAGCCACTCACTGTGGGTACTGGGAGCCCTGGAAGAGCAGGGTGCACTTTTAACCATGAGTCAAGCCTGAAAGATTCTCACAAGTTAAATTTCACAGCAATGACCACTATATATCAAGGTAAGTGTGGAAATGAAAGCATTAAAAGGATGGAGAAAAACAGGAACAGAGAACAAGTTACCCTGCGGTTCCTATTCAACAGTAGTAGTAGAACTCGGGTCCTGTTCTTACGAGACACGTTTTCTACTGAGTCTCATATTCGGTTTCACAGAATGCCACTAGTCATGTTCCTGAGTTCAATCAAGTTTTGGAAATGCTAGATGGGACAGACAGACTTCAGACTATTTCACATGCATCTCCAGGAAGACTGAAGAACGGAGTGGGCATCACAACCTCAGCCTCAGGCAGAAATCGGGAGAGGCAGGGAAGGAGAATGTTGGAGTGAATGGCTCCATCTAGTGGCCTCACTATTGTACAACTCAGGATGATCATGATGGACGGGGGATGGGGTGGGGGGAAAGGGAGGAGGCGAGGGAAGGGTAACTGTGGTTGGCATGTAAAATGAGTAAAAAAATTAAAGCAAAAAAATCTATAAATCAAGGCTTTCATTGCTAAATATCGGTTTAGATGTATAATTGCCTGAAATTCAAATTGCCCAGCTCCCATTGTCAGAGCAGCAGGGAGGCCTACACTTGAAGAAGGGACGAGCTGTTGGAAAACATCAACCCATCCAGACTAATGTGGTTTGATCAAGCCAGACCACCTGAAACAGAGTACCAGGTGATCCTACATTCAAAACAGCTGGACAAAGCAGCCTTACAGACTACAGCCAGGATTTCTGCATCTTCTTAGAATCCCCCATGACAGTGCCCCTTACCAGCAGAAAGTAGTTTGGAAAGAACAACGCCCAAATTCCCAAATATTGTGTATAAATGTTTGTTTTCATTTAAATGGACTTGGTTATATAAAATAAATAAATAAATAAATAAATAAATAAAAAGAAAGAAAGAAAACATCAACCCAATAGATTAGTTGGTCTCCAAGTTAAACCTACAAGGCTGAGGAAATTGACAGTGCAAAAAAATGGATAGCAAGAAGGATTTGTAGTCCATGTATGTTATTTTGGAGGTTCATCAACTTGGGAAAAATGGAAAAGAAATATCTGGCAAATCGGTAGAAATAAAAAGGGAAGTTGGGCCTTAAAGCCCTTCCAACCCTTGAGATTGGGCAATGAGTGAGTGAGTTACTCCTGCTATGACTTGGATCTTACTTTCCTTCCCAAAGCCCCATGTATTAAAGACTTAATCCCTAGAGTCCATGGTGGAACTTTGTAACAACAAAACAGAAAAAAAAAAAGATTTATTCTCTTGCGTACACGTGTATTCCAGCATGAGTTTATGTGCATATGTGTGCAGGTACACACAGAAGCCAGAAGGCATCAAATATCCTGGAACTGGAGTTACCTGATGTGGTGGTGGGAACTAACTCAGGTCTGCAAGAGCAGTAAGCACTTCTTAAAAACAATTCAAGACAGGGTTAATTTGTGTAGCCCTGGCTGTCCTGGAACTTGCTCTGTAGACCAGGCTGGCCTCGAACTCACAGAGATCCACCTGCCTCTGCTTCCTGAGTGCTAGGATTAAAGACACATGCCACTAAGCCCACCTGACAGCAGAAAGCACTCTGAAGCACTGAGCCATCGCTCCAGCCCCTATGGTGGAACTTATAAGAGATGAGACCTAGTAGGGAAAGTAATGTCACTGTGGGCATGTCACTGAAGGTGTTAATGGGACCCCAGCTCTTTCTTCTGTCACTCTGTAGTCCATTACCATGAGGTAAATGGCTTCACCCTCCCACATGATCCAGAGGTCCGAAGAAGCAGGCCCAATTATCAGGGACTGGAACCTCTAAAACTTGTGAATAAACAAACCCAAAAAACAAACCCTCCAAAAATTTTTTTTCTTTTTAAAGTTGATTACCTCAGGTACTTGTTATAGTACCAGAAGGCTGAGCAACACAACTTCGAAAGAGTTGTAATTATATAGAAGAGAAAGTTGACAAATGCTAACTACCTCTGCCAGGTGCTAAGTTGTGTTGATCGATGTGAAATAATAAAAAAGTAATTTACCTCAGTGGTCTGCCTTGCAAAAGTCCATAACCCTAACTGCACCATGAGAAAAAGCAGATGAGACCAAAGTGAGGGACACACAAAATAATCAAATCCAGATTATGCTTGGTGGCAGGTACCTTTATCCAATGAACCACCTAGCTGGCCCACACTTAATTGTGAAAAAATACCATATTTTTGTAAACGTAATAGTAGTGGAACATTGGTATAGGTGGATACGGGTACATTTTTCAACTTCTATGAAAATCTGAAGCTATTTCAAATTTTAAAAAGCATGATGTTTATAAATGCAGCATGGCATCCAGGTTGGATCTTAGAACAGTGGAAAACTGGTAGAATGCAAATAAACTCTGACATTTACCTAATAATAATGTATTGGTGGTGTTCATTTTGATGACTGTACTCTGGTAATATGAGACGAACATCAAGGGAATTTGGGTAAGGAGTGTAAGAGAGCTTTGGATTTTACTAACTACTCTCTCTCTCTCTCTCTTTCTCTCTCTCTCTCTCTCTCTCTCTCTCTCTCTCTATATATATATATATATATATATATATATATGTAGTATATAGTAAGGAGTTTGTGTGCTGAACACACATGTGTGCAGGAGTGCATACCTGTGCAAATATTCACAGACCAAAGGAATATGTTCAGTCTCCTTGTCTACTCTCTGCCTACACCCTTGAGACACATTCTCACTGAAACTGGAACTAGGCTGGCAGCCAGTAAGGCCCACTCATCTTCCTGTCCCTGCACTCTATAGAACTGGAATTGTAGGCACATAGGTGGCCATGCTGGGCCTTTTTATATGGGTGGTAGAACCTGAACTCAGGATCTCATCCTTCAGCACCAAGCACTCTTACACACTAAGGCATCCCCCTAGTGCTATTTCCTGTGCACATGTTTATTGAAAAGTACCGCAGCGAACAATGGAAACTAGACAACATAAACTAGAGAGTAAAACCAAAACAAAAAGGGGCCAGCTTTCAGAAGTGATGGAACGATGCAGTGCAACTGGGGCGTTAGCTCAAACCAAAGATGGTTAAGAGTCTCCGGGAAGCCAGTGCTTCTCACGGAAAAGGGGGAAGGGCCAGAGACTAAGGAAAATGTTGACAGCTTGGGCGAGACTCCATTT